AAGTATCTTATGTAATTTTTAATTTTCAAAGAATGTAATTTGAACAAAAGTGCAGTGATATAATATTTTTTTCTCACTACATCCTTTATTCTTCATTAGACAGATTTATATTTGGAAATGATTTTGACGTGATTGATTATATTGTATTTTATTCATCTTTCAGTATTATTAGATAATTCTATTGATTTTTTTCTGATAGTCGTTGCTTTTTTTAGGCAAGGTTGTACTCTGTGGGTTAGGATTACTAACCACATACCCAACCCTCCTCTTTTATTTGAGCTAGGAATTTTTAGTGACTCAGTGGTCGAGACTACTGGCAGTGTGAATCATAAGTGGAGTGAAGCGGAGTGTCACCCAGAAGTTACTACAGCAGAGAAGAGTGTCGGATTAGAAAGCGTGGGACGATCAAAGCGTTTTGAAGACTAGAAGACATCTGAAAGAAAACCACCAATAATATGTTTTTTTTTTACAAATGGAAGTTCGAAAGTTAGATGTATACATTTTGTTAGAAAACTGTGTCTATTCTGGTCTTGATATTCTCGTCCTGTACAACTCTAGAAGGATTACAAGAGATTTAAACAGTGTTTTCGTCTACAGGTATAAGGACTAGTTTAAAACGACTGTAATAAAGTTCTATCAGGCTTTTTGACATTCAGAAACCACTACTATAAATCGACAGTTAGTAAAATAGGAAATAATAATATTATGAAGTATAGACAGATTTCACATAATTTAGAAATCTATTAATGTCTCCTATAGGTTACTTTGTCCATAACTCAACTAGATAATAACAAAACATGAACTCGTTCTAATGGATAAAAGCTGTGCATATTCTCAACCCTTAAAACGCCCAAAACATGTTTTCAAGAGTCTACACATTATTCGTAGCTATAACTAGGTATTTTGGATTAGAATAAGAGCTTAACTGAAATCATCTATGATCTTAAAATGCTCTACAACCATGTGGATGAATTCATTTCTCGCCCAATGATTGAAAAAGTTCTATTTGATTAGTTCTTTCGAAAAAAAGTGATGACACCTGATTAAGATTTGTTTGAGGATTAAGCGTTTGTAGTCAAAATTAACTAATAATGATGATTTGGCTGTTATATACAATCAACCAAAGTGGAATTCAGTACTTGATTTGTTCAGCGCTATAATTTTAACTCTCACATGACGGTATTTTTACATCTCAGATGTGTGATATTTTAATTTCGTGTAAATGACTAAAAGTCTGTTTTCTGAATCTGATTCGCTCGTCTCAATATTGTGCTGATACAATATATTTTTGGGAACATTTTAAGGATTGCTGCATCAGAGTTTCACCTTAGTTATAGTGGAAACCAGTAAAAAACAGTTTTCAGAAACTTCATATGTATTTTTACATGTAAATTCATGCAAATAAGACAAGGATATTGAATAATATAGTTCATTACGAAAGCTTAACAATTAAACGTATACATACTTACTTACCTACTTACGTCTGTTATCCTTAATAGGACACTGGCCGCTGACCAACATTTTTCAACCTAATCTATCCACCACCTTCCTTGCCAACTCTATCAGATTGCTGTTCATTCCCCCACAATATTCCCTTTGGTTTTTATCTTCTCATTTCGCCATGAGGATTTCAAGTATGGGACTGCCTTGTGACGCAGTTAGGCGATTTTCTCAATGTGTGTCCCATCCACCTCAAACTCTTCTCCCTAATTTGTTCCACAGCTGGAGGAACCTGGTTTTTTCTCTTCTACAGAAGGTTGTTGCTGATGTTATCTGGCTAAAGGATCTATTTATTTGCTCATAAAACGATAACCAGGACAAATAACCATATACACATTGAGCAGTAATGAGGAATGGAACAAAATAGGGTAATCAGAAACAGCCATGCTCATTGTATTTTGTCATTAGTAATTAAACAATGATGGACCACATCAGGGTCATAGTGATGAATATTTAACAAAATGTTGTTGACGCATCTAGTTATGAACCGTAATTAACAAGTGGCTTATACGTTTGTGACAGGTCTGAATATTACTCCACCCGGTTTGGTTTCGAATGTCCGTAAGTATCGTTGTCACTCACATCAAGGTTTTGATATACAGTTCAACGGTTGGTAAATGAGTGACATTGGACTTTTATCAAAAAATTTACCAGACTATTATCAAAACTCAGCTGCTGTAAATGGCATGAACGATTTTTTAGTTTTCAATAATACTGCATCTGATTCGAGTTCAAGACAAACAATAAGTTCAAAATTTGAATTAGTTATTGTTGTTATTATGTGTATCTACTATCTATCATATTCAACGAGCGATGATTTGTGGTGTAGTAGGTTAGAAGAAATCTAATGGCGGCCAGACCAAAGCATGGCACAAATCCAAGTCACTGAAAAGTGAACTGAGCCATTTTGGTAGATGTAGACTACCTGGTTGGATAGTAACCGATGGTAAAAGACCTTAAATGACACGGCTCAAAATCGTTTCCAATGGCGCTGATGCATCTACTCTTTGTGTTCCCTCAAATCCTAATCTTCTGGATTCGTCAACACCTCTACCTTTGTCTTTCTAAACCTGTCTCACTGAATTGCACTTCTTGAATATTATCTTCAAATCCTAATCTTCTCCATTACAGTTGCGTCTCTGTGCTAATGTGGTATTGCAACTTGAACTGACTGACTGACTGACTATGTATCATATTGGGGTAGCCTATTAACTACTACCATTACAATGCCCACAAACTTAAGTCAGAACATAGAAGACTGGTGAAGGTGACGATTTATTGATTTTTGAAAATAAACACGATGACTAAGTCAGATTAAATATAATTATTTCCTGACTGATTTCAAAAATACACTTGATAATTAAAAATTTGAACATCACATACCTGTGGAAATACACAGGTTTTCTGCAAAACACAAACAAAGTTCATATTTGTCATATTGAACAAAAGTTCACACTTCATTAAAACAAAATTTATTGACCTGAAATAATATTGATAATACATGGAAAATAAAAATTCAATATCATACTACTGACAAATACTACTGTCAAATATCACATTGAAAACATACTAATCTCATACTGAATAAAATGTTACGTCAAGAATAAACTAATGTCCAAATGTTATATTGAGAAGAAAAAACTAATACTATGAATTATTACTGTGAGTTAGAGAAAAAAACCTGTGAACTTTCCTAGTTATTCCAACTTATCATTACTCAATAGCCTAACTATATATAATTATATTACAACTCATAGCTAAAAGGTTCAATTTTAAAATCTTTCACGCTCAACTTATTCTCTAAAACAATAGTAATAATAACTGTAGTTGTCTTAAATATTACTGGATGTTTTTGTCTAAACCATATGAATATTCATAACAGTTTTATTTTTAATTTCTGGTTTCACTAGTCTTTCGTTCTGTATTTATTTGAGCGAAAATGAATTTTACCATTATAATTCACCAAGTATGACATGATTCTGTTATGTATTTAACACCTTTTTTTCACCACAGAGTTCTTGGTACTCAAATTGTTTTGTCTAGTAGTGTCTAGCCTAGCAGAGAGCTGATAAATTTTTGACACTAATTAACAACTTGTTTAGGCATTAGTGTATATGACCTTATAGATTTGTCGAACAAGAGTTGTATCATTAATAGGTAACAGAATTTTTACTTACGCCTGTTAACCCCAATGGAGCATAGGCCGCCAACCAGTTTTCTCCAACCAACTCTGCCCAGAGATTCCCTTTCCACTTCTGTCCAATTTTCGTTCATTTTTCTCATACCTGTCTTTAATTATCGGGGTAATGTGTTCCTTGGACTTCCTCTTTTCCTTTGACGTGGGGGGTTCCATGTGAGGGCTTGTCTTGTGACGCAGTTGGGTGATTATTGCAGTGTGTATCCTATCCACTTCCATGACTTCTTCCTGATTTCCTCCTCCACTGAAATGTGGTTTGTTCTCTCCCACAGTTCGTTGTTGCTGATGGTATCTGACCAACGAATCCAAAGTATTTTGTGTAAGGAATACTTGTATCTTCTGGATGATGGCTTTTGTGTTTCTCCAAGTTTCCGCTCCATACAGTATAACTGTCTTGACATTTGTATTGAAAATCCTGATTTTGGTGTTGATTGATAGTTGTTTGGAGTTCCAGATATTTTTCAATTGTAGAAATGCAACTGTAAATGATGTTGGGTCCTCCAAGGCATCTCCATCAAGTGATTTGTTTAGCACATGCTGTACTGTATCAGAGAATCTTGCTTTTCCTTTTATGTATGTTGAGACGTGCTGCTGAGGCTTCTGCTACACCGGTCGTCTTCACTTGCATTTGTTGCTGCGTGTGCGATAGAAGAGCCAGGTCATCTGCCAAGTCCAGATCGTCCAGCTGCACCCACTATATACCGTGTTTCCCTTTAGATTTTGAAATGTTGCAGAATGATTAACTCTAAAAGAAACATACTTCAGTAAAGTGATCAAAGTTTATGTTGAATCTTCAAATGTGAAGGCAATTAAAAACTCATGAGAAAGGTATAACTTCCGATCTCGAGACTCATTATTTCCTAAGTATTTTAGTTTTAAAACCTTTAGCTGAATATAAGAACCGAAAATTCTCCTGCATAATTTTTAATAAATTCCGAATTACCTTAATTCCTTTGACATTCAATCTATGCCGTGAGTACAACCGAAGATAGAATATATGAATAGTCAGAGATTGCTCACTCGTTAGACTTGAATGTAATCGCTCCATGAGTCAACCATTGACCAATTATTCATCTTTGTTTGAATTATATATATAAATAAATTAAATTCATTTGTTATGATTCATTTAAATTATTATTTTCTTCGAGAAGAATTGCTTCAACGTTATTTAAACAACCAATCATAGGCATTAGAAAATGTTAATTCGATTATTGATTTTTTATAAATAGCCAATCCGAATACACTGCATATATTAGTTATGATTGCCCGATAGGATATTTTCTGGCAGTTATAATTTGCATTATTTATCCATAAAAGTTTATTTCCTATCAAATGGAAAGAAGCTACTTGGGGAATGATTAAAAAATTCCAATGTCTTACGAGGCCAAAAATCTTATTACTTTTATTGTTTGTCGGCATATATACCTTATTAATTAGCATTTGGTCAATACTACAATTTGATTCTTCGCCAAAATCAAACAAAATCAATTTAAATGGATTTAAGCGGGAGAATTATCAAAATATTAAATGTTCAATACCACAAATGGACTTATGGCCAAGTCAGAAGTATAATCTAGACACGAAAAAACAAATAAATTTTCCAAAATGTAAACAAACCTCTTTATTTAAATCATATTTAACATTGAATAAAACAATTAGTATTCATGAATATTTATCATTTCATAAGGGAAAATTAAAAATTCAAACTTTTCACAATAATGTAACAAGAACGAATGCAAGTTCAATTATGTGTTCATTATTTCCAATCAAACGATTAAATGATTATCAATCGATATATTTAAATGTTGTTGAACAAATTTATGATGGTTATCAATCACAATGGCCAATGTTTATGGTTATGTGTCAACCTAAACAGAATTTATTACTTTCAAAACCTGATTTCAGTTGGAGTAATTCACGATTCGATCAAATAGAACGTTTATTAGTATGTGGTTCATATTCTAATTTGAAACAAACAAAATCTAAATGGTCTTTAACTAAGAATCGACAAAATAATTTTATGTATAATATACTTCTTTTAGGTATTGATTCTGTTTCACGTTTGTCAGCATTTCGATATTTAACTAAAACAGTGCAATTTATTCAAAGCTTGAATGAAAACGCAACAATCATGAATTTATATAATGTAATCGGTGATGGAACTACAGTTAATTTATTGGGACTTTTAACTGGACAATTAGAATCCGAATTACCTGAATCTAGAAAATCTCATCTATACAAGAATAAAAATCATTCAAAATGGAATAAAAATGATAATTATACCGTATTAGATAATTATCCTTGGATATGGAAAGAATTTTCTGAATATGGAGATTATGTAACACATTATATTGAAGATACACCGAAATGGGGTACATTTCAGCATAGATTATGTGGTTTTGGTTCAGCGCATAGTCCAACAACTAGTTATGGACGTCCATGTTTAATAGCAGCAAGTCAAGAAGAAAAGTATTCTGGAAAAATTCTTGGATGTACAATGTCAAGGTAAGTAGAAAAGAGTAATGAGTACTATCAAAAAAATTAAAATTATTTTAATGACATTTTATAAATATATAGATAGAAAATAATGTTTCATCAGCGCTGATGGCCTGGTGAATGAAGAAATCTCAGCACGGATACAGAAAGCTCGATTGGCTTTTACCAGTTTACTTCATTTATGGCGTGGGCGAGATATCCATTCGCTAACCAAAAGTCGAGTGAACAGTGTAGCAGTTCTCTCCGTTCTCCTATAAGGATGCGAAACATGGCCGGTAAGAGTAGAAGATATTCATAGGTTACTAGTATTCGATCTTAGATGTCTTAAAAGCATTACTCGTGTATTCTGGGACAACCAAGTAGGCAATGCTGTCGTTAGGAGACTAGTACTAGGTAGGAATGGCAAACCAATAAATGAAGTATTGAAACTTCATTAGCTGAGGTGTTTGCGACTTGTGTTACGAATGCCCAACCACCGATTGCCTCAACAAGCGATGTTTTGTGGTGTAGGTCTAGGCTGGAAGTAAAGTAGGGGCGGCCAGATCAAAACATGGCAAAAATCCATGAAGTCACTGACTATTGAATGACATGGCTCAGAATCGTTTGCAATGGCGCAGGTGCATCCACTGTTTGTATTCTCTCAAATTCTAATCTTCTGTATTCGTCAACACCTCTATCTTTGTCTTTCTAAACGTATCTCATTGAATTGTACTTCTTGAATAATATCTTCTAATCCTAACCTCTCCGATTACTTCTAATACCTTTACTACCTCTTCTACTATGGGATTTGAATTGACAATTGTGTCTCTGTGTTAATGTGGTATGGTAACGTGAACTGATGTAATTACGTACGAAGTTCCACGTTATAACTGACTGACTGACTAAACAAACTAATGTTCAATAAATCATACAATATAAAAGGTGTAAAAGTTACCAATTAACTCTTCTGATTGCAATCGATATCCCATAGAATTGAGATATTGGTACTTGGAAGCACTGGACGGCCGTTCCCTCTTGGTATGGCACTCATCGACTGTAGGCATCCACGACTCCTGATACTCACAGGATTCAAGCCCAGGACCTTCGGTCATGCGCGTGAATGCCTAACTTCTGGGCCGTTGGGCCATCCCATACCGAGACGAAACAGCCGTTCAGTGCTTCGAGGTTTCTAATGGTGGTCTACCAATAATCGATCCACGTTTCAGTAATAAACAATAATCTCCATAACTTTACAATTCTAGATACACTTCACTAATATCTGTCAACTAGCCACCAATCAAATAATATTAAGTATTCTAATTTACATTGTCAATTTACCTAGATTCATGGCCAAATTACAACCTAATTGATAGTTTTCGTCAACAATACCAACTTGACGTCATGATTATTTCATGATTAATTGGTGTGTAGTCATTTGTTAAAACCACCATCTCAAAATCATAGTTTACAATCAGTTTGTAAAATTAATAAATGTAACGTGGACATGCGTTACATAACTAACGGGTTATATTGTATTGATTATCTTTATTGGAAAAAACGATAAAATATTTTTTAAAAAAATCGGAAAATGGTTGATTTATTGTGGTAGAGGACTAACTGGGTTTCTTTAATGCAGTAAGCAATGTTATCGTTAGGAAACGAGTTCTAGGCAAGGATGGGAAATCAATAGATGACGCATTAAAACTTCATCAGTTGAGGTGGCCGGAACATGTGTTACGTATGCCACGTCGAGATATGTTTTGTGGTGTAGGAGTAGGTTGGGAGAAAGTTAGGGACGGCCAGATCAAAACATGGCAGAAATCCATGAAGTCATTGACGAGTGGACTGATTCATGTTGGTAGATGTAGGCTACCTGGTTGGGGTCCGCGAGACGAAGGTCATCAATGGTTAGAGACCTTGAATGACATGGCTCAGAATCGTTTGTCATGGCGCAGATGCATCCACTCTTTGTGTGCTTTTTAATTCTAAGCTTCTGAATTCCTCATGATCTCTACCTTTCTCCTTCTAAATTTATCTCACTGAATTATACTTTTCGAATCATATCTTTGCTCCCTAATCTCCATTGCTGCTAATAATTCTACTATCACCATCACTCTTGGATTTGAACTGACAGTTACGTCTCTGTGCTGACGTGGTATGGCAACCTGAACTGATGTACTTACGCACGAAGTTCGGCGTTGTATATATCTATCTTTAAAGCAGTTGCAGCAAGCTTTCAATATTCTGAAAAGAATATAACAGCGTACAGTTAGTGATCCTTAACTCGTGATCATTATCGCCTTTGTCCTAGTCTACGGTTTCCTGATGATTCGCTCCAACCACCTATTTGTGTAGCACAATGTGTAGTACAGTCAAACGAATATCATACATACATTTAACTTACTTGGAAGTTACATGTTATGAGGATAAATAAAATGAACAAAACAGGATTTTTCTATAGTTGAAGTTGCGAGCTTATTTAAGCTATGTCACCATTAGAAACTTAGAAGCACTGGATGGCGGTTTTGTTTTGGTGTGGGGCTTCTTAGCAGTGCGTAACCATGAACCTCGCGTACGGTAGTCAAACCCCGGGTTATCGGTCTTACTTAATCTCTAAACCACTGAGGATTCTCATATTAGGACGAAGAGGCCATCAAGTGCTTACAGGTTTCTAGTGGTGTTGTAGCTTAGATCAGTTCATGATTTCAACTGTAAAAAAGTACAATCTCCACAAATACTCTTCATGAAAAACGAAATTTGTTTGGTGGTAAAGCCTATAATTGTGATATATATTATCCAAATGATTTTCAGCTCCCTTTTACTTGGAGGTATAACATATTGATCTATGATTTACTTACTTACCTTATTTACGCCTGTTACCCCCAATGGAGATATGTTGCCGACCAGTTTTCTCCAACCAACTCTGTCCTGAGCTTCCCTTTCCACTTCTGTCCAATTTTCGTTCATTTTTCTCATACCTATCTTTAATTCTCGGCGTGATGTGTTCTTTGGCCTTCCTCTTTTCCTTTTGCCTTGAGGCTTCCAAATGAGAGCTTGTCTTGTGACGCAGTTGGGTGATTTTCACAGTGTGTCCTATCCACTTCCACAACTTCTTCCTCATTTCTTCCTCCATTGGAATCTGGTTTGTTCTCTCCCATAGTAGGTTGTTGCTGATGCTGTCTGACCAACGAATCCGAAGTATTTTGTGTAGACAACTGGTAAGGAATACTTATATCTTCTGGATGATGGCTTTGGTAGCTTTCCAAGTTTTCGCCCTATGCAGTAGAACTGTCTTGACATTTGTATTGAAAATCCTGGTTTCGGTGTTGATTGATAGGTGTTTGGAGTTCCAAATATTTTTCAATTGTAGAAATGCAGCCCTTGCTTTCTTGATCCGCGACTTCACTTCTTCATCACCTTGATTGTCAATGGTGCTACCCAGATATGTAAAGGTGTTAACGTTCTCCAAGGCGTATCCATCAAGATTGATTTGGTTGGCGCATGTTGCGTTGTATAGGAGAATCTTTCTTTTCCATTTATGTCTTTTAAGACCTGCTGCTGTTGAGGTTGCTGCTACACTAGTCGTTTTCTATTGTATTTGTTGTTGCGTGTGCGATAACAAATGCAACAAATGAAGTCTGGAATTTTCTAACATTTTATATTGTTTATTTGAAAAATCACCAAAACATAAACACTAAAAAATGACTTATCTGGTTCATCTACTTGATCAATAAACCAATAAAAATTCCAAAGGATCACTTCTCATATTATGTCCACCTGCATTTGTAGACATATTTATCGATCAAAAATGGGTCATGCATCTTTGTATATTTCGATAACTTTCCGAAAGATTCAAAATTCTCATATGGCTATCTTTCCATTATTAGATCAACGAACGTAGCATAGTTATTTTGGAATTTAACGAATAAGCTAAATGCAGTCTCATTCGTTTTCGATGAACTAATGGATGCGAAAACATTTGAATCAATTTTTATCTATTGTTTTTATCGTATTTGTAATTTCTGCTAACTGTATAAAATGCTGAATAGTTGAATACTTTTTTATTCAGACAATCCTATATCTTGATTTTATGTTATCACATTATACATCAATATGTTATACCTTCAGGAAAGAAAGAGAACTAGAGCTCATGTGAATAAACAGAATATGTGTTACTGAATCTAAATCACAATCATAGGCTTTACCACTAAACAAATTTTGTTTTACATGAAAGGGACTTGTGGAAATAGTATTAGTTTCATAGTTAACAATCACAAACTGATTCAAGCTACAACACCACTAGAAACCTGTAAGCACTGGATGGCGAATTGAAGCTGTTCTGAATATCCAAAATGCATTGTTAAATGTATATTTGTTAATATATTCATCCAATACCCTAAGAGAATTATTGGTCAGTTCCTATTGGTTAATTCCTACTGGTTAATTTTATGGTCGTCCTAGATATCAATGTCATGTACTCCAATGTTGTTTCTTATTGCTCGACTTAACCGTCAATGTCACACTTCGATGCTGTTTCCTATTCGACCTAAATATATAAATACGCATTATCTGTAACATTTTATGACCTGAATCCCTAGTCCGGGATCCTGGTTCTTTCCGGGACTCGGACCTCATACTTTCTGGGTGTTTGTAGAATAGAGGCTCTACCTCGTATCAAGTCTTCTTCTTTTCACTCATTGAGGGGGTTGGGACACTCGGATTAGTGTAGCATGTCATGTCGCCGGATCCCCGATCCTCGTTCGCGTTTTCCGACTAAGGCGAACTCTTAATAGTTCAAGCATATCAAAATTACATGTTTACCTGCATGCGTAACAATATCACAATCGTGAGCTTCACTTTTACTAAAAAGAACTTATTCGTTTTCTTTATCCTCATAATAACATGTTACATTTAAGTCAATTAAATATTTTCATAATATTGAATCAAACCATTCTACTAATTCAAGTGGTTATTAATAACTTGATAACGAAATCATTTATTATTATTATTATTATTAACATGAAGTTGAA